AGATCTCATCAGAAAATTGAATATCTATGCTGAAATGATTCTCTGGTGGTGACAAATTTTGTCCCTATCGCATTAACTGCAACCATGCCTCGTTGACGTGCTCATTTTGATTGTGCGTTATATGTAGCCGCCAAAATCAGTATCGTAATTTTTATTTAACGCATTTTTCTCTGAAACCAATTGTATCGAATATTTCTTTTGAAGCCGAGATTTTAATGCAACGAAAAACACTTTTCTACTTTCAAAATCGGTTTCTAGTTTATTTGTCTAAAAATCTCAATTATTTTCGACATTTACACAAATCTCAATTATTTTCGACATTTACACAAATTAGTCGAATTTTCTTTTAAAATAATATTCTTTTCTTAGTTTTACTTATGATATCCGAAAAGTGTAAGAAAGTCTAAACAATGCTATCTTGTGCATTATTTGTTGTAATGGGCTTCATATCGACGTAACCAGACGATGTGCCCTTGGTGCCGTTTATTTGAACATAGCCCGATGACGACAATTTCATATCCAATAACTTTAAATATTCTTTTTGGCCGGAATGTAATGGATTCATATTTGCCTTCAGGTATGGTTCATTCAGATCGATGTATTGGTTTGCAACATTTCGCTCGAGCAAACGATAGATTTTATCTTCTAGATCATTGAACGTTGGACGAAGTTCGGCATTCATGCGCCAACACGACAACATAATATTATATCTAGAAAGAGGAATGACAAACAAATGATTATTTATTCAATTTACTATAAGTGCAATGTTAAAGTAGCTGACAACCATGGATAAAATGGATCCAAAGATGATGCAAGACTTTGAAATGAAAATAAAAATGGGAATCCACATTTCAAAATGATGAAATTTATTGCAAATATGGCAAAATGTTTGACTTTTTAACGTAATAACGAGCATGCATTGAGTGATCGTGCGTTGGGATCGTATGCACACAAAAATGTGGCAATAATCATGTCTTCAAATGATGACGATGAAATAATTTTGGTTCAAACCGGACGGGGGTTAGAATTGACTTATAAATTTTCACTTCATCCCTTAACATCGGACCATGCACCGATCTGGTTTAGCCGTAAAATAATAAAAATGAAGGAAATGTCTTACATTGTTGTTGTTGAATGGTGTGGTTTTTCCAATCGATAGCCATTAACTAGTTTTCGATGTAAGTCATGATGGTCATCAACGCCCATGTAGGGTAATGTACCAAGTGAAAAGAGTTCCCAGAGAACGACACCAAACGACCACACATCAGAAGGTGTACTAAATATTGATTTTTCAATCGTCTCCGGAGACAGCCATTTAAATGGCATTGGACTTTCTTGGGCCATTATCTACGGTATCATCAATCGGTTTATGATTTTGTCGATTTTAAATAAAATTTTAATATAATTTGAAGCAAGGGGACTGGCACGAATTTCAGAATTTCAACAATTTAAAGAATATTTAAGCGGAATTTTTGCAATTTATAAATTGCACCTATAAATAGGTTTTTTTTTCATTCGTACTCAATCTGTTGGATGGAAATGCATACAAAAAAAAGGTTTACCAGTCGATTTTCGAGATATTTGCCAATTTCGTAGATTGATCGCACGGAACCAAAGTTACCAATTTTCACCACATTATTATCGCACAGTAGAACATTCTTTGCAGACAGATGACCGTGTAGGATTTTTTGCAGTGCCAAATGCTGCATTCCACGTGCAATTTGAAATGACCAACAAAGTAAATTGGTTGTTGTAAACGTAAACAATTGTTCCGAGTTATTTGAGGATCCTAAATTTAATGAAATTTAAAATTCAAATGATTTTTTTGGTTATTCATTGTTATTTTGACCATCTATCTCACCATTTGAATTAGAATTATTTGGACAGAGTGTTGTTCGTGAGTCAATGGTTCCGCCTCTATTTGGATTAGAGTCATCGGAATTATTGCTTGCAATTGAATTTTCATCCTCTTCACATCTATGGAAATGATATTTATTTCTTATATTGATCACATCTCTTTTTCAATTGAGCTATTTACTTGAGTCTTAGATGAATTTCTGAAAAAATCTCAACGAATTTATTCGAAAATATTGTGAACTCACCTATTAAAATGTGAATAGGAATGGTTTCGTTGCTGCATAGTAAATTTTGTTGTTATGGTTGGATCAATAACATCTTCGCCACAAACGATTTGATCAATGAATTGTGTACGATGCTTCATGAGGAATGTTCGAAGATCACCAAACCGACAATACTCAACGATAACCATCAATTTGCCTGTGAATCATGATTTACTTGAGACTTTGAAACCAACATTTAGATATTTTACTTACGTTTCGATAGTTTTTTGGTCACTGCACCCAATAAATTTACCAAATTTAAATGTTTTGCCAAATGAACCATTATTTTCAATTCTCGAGATGCGATTTTGAAGAGCTGATCAAAAAGATTTTTTTACGAAAAAAAAAAAAAATGTTACAACAATTCAGAGATTCAAGTTCAGATGTTACATTCAAATTGGGAACATACCTCTTTATTATGGACACCGTTAATCATTTTAACGATAACTTTGCTCTCCTTCTCATGGGTTACAATATCTTTTGCCATTGCTTCAACTACGATTCCGAACGTGCCTTTTCCAAGCCGCTGACCTAGTATCAATTTTTTTGGTGGAAACTCGTAATGTTCATTATAAGGCAGCAGATCAAGTTGCTCTTCAAATTTCATTGTTGCATTGATTTTGCTCGGATTTCCTTCTTCAAATTTCTTGGGAGTGGTCACTCGTTTTCGACATCGAAAATGGCAAACAAGTACAAATGCGACGATGAATAACAATATTACGATTGGCACTACTATATAGGCGAACATGTTTTTCGTTATGAAACTTTTCGGTGCTGACTTTTGTACACTGATTCATCTGGAAATGTTGTTCGTTTTCGAAAAGAATAAAATGTTTTAATGAAAATAACAAGCATGATATCAGTTGTTGATGCTAGAATGTACTTTTCCCCCAAAGCCATTTTTTCATTACTAATTATTATTTCACATTAACCCTTTGACGATCACAACTGAATGACTGGAGTTTGTTAAATTCGAATTGTACTTTCGTCATGAATTATTCATGTTGATCCATCCCGAATAATGAAGAGTTTCTCTCTTTCTATGAAGACCTTTCAATTTAAACACTTTTCTCATGTTCTTTTCATAAGATTGATTAACATTACAGCTTAAAAATGGGACACATAGATGAGTCACTTTCTATATTTTTTGGGTGGATTTTTGTTGTATCCTACACTGAAAAATGGCTGGAAGGAAATATTCCAACCCTGCGTTGTAAATGTTGTCATTGCAAACGATTTTGTGAATTGTCCAACCATGGTTGGAATATTGATAGCATTTTCGTACTTGTCAAATTCCAACCATGATTGGACAATTCACAAAATCGTCTGCAATGACAACATTTACAACGCAGGGTTGGAATATTTCCTTCCAGCCTTTTCTCAGTGTATATAAAGGCTCTAGGAAATCGCCTATCTTGCTTTTGCCTAAAATGTCAATGTCATTAGCAGAATTGACGTTCTTCTGACTTAAAAGCATTGAAATGTCAATTGCTTTGACGTTCTAGGCACAAATTTCCGAGAGCCTCTCTAATAGTCACAATCAGACTTGGGCAAAAGGATGGGTTTCGATTTAACCCCGTGTCTACGATTTTTCTACCACCATTTGATACTTTTAAGCTTGACCAAGATTTTACTTTTCCGCACGACCATGTCGTGAGTAAAAGTATTGTAATCACTCCAAAACCTAGGTACCCCGAAAAAACCATTTTTCTATCCATTTTCGACACCAAAAAGCACCTTAAAGTGGTTATTTTGCTATGTTAATGTGGGTGTGTCGTACCCTGTACGCTGTACGCCGTACGCAAAAATTTGTTAGCGCGATTGCTCAAATACCAGAATGGGAAATGAAAATCTACAAGTACCAAACGTTTGTGCTTCGTTAGACTTGGAAACCATTAAATTTTCAGCCACCCCAGATGTACCCTAGGAAACCTAGCCTATGAAAAACCTTCAAAAAATCGAACTTTTGTTCGGGAGGTACCCAAAATAGGCTCCCCAGGTGGATTTTATCACTCCCACTCGATTTATTTCATCAAAATAATAGGGGCCCAGGAACAACCTAGCACCCTCTAACCCACTTTTTTCGTATCAAACCGGTATAATAATTCAAAATTTCTTGCATTTTTTTGTTCTTAATTTTGTTAAAAATCGCGCTTTCGTATGAGAGTTTCAAATCACTCCTTCGCTGTTTGCTCATTCATGTTGTTCTATGGATTCGAAGGGCTGCCATATAAATACAATGTAAAAAAGACGCGTTACGATTTTGGTCAAGAAAAATGTGGTTATTTTAAATGGTATTTTTTTCAACTCGTCACATTTTGTTCCAATTTTTCAACTCCAAATCAATATTTTTTTGCATTTTCATTCAATAAAACATTTGAATCAAATTTAAAACGAATTTTGGTTTAGTTTCTGAAAAACTGCTCAAAATCTTCACACGAAAACAATTCATGAAACGAAAAATTACACAGCACATGTTCAATCGAAGAAAAAAATAAAATGTTCTTTGAATTGAACATTAGTAGATGTGCAATGCGATGTGATGTCAACCTTATAAAAAGCGCACACAGTCACACATTCCATTGACAGCTTCGCCAGTTCGAAATTCGTGTGGGGAAATTCTTATGAATTTCCTAGGCAAAATCTGAATAAAAGCTGAACGCTATGAAAACGGTGCGGAAAAGTTCGTCTTACGGAGGTGAGACTATTTATTTTTTTGTTAAATTCAATAAAAAACGTGAACGATGTAATAGTCGAGGTCACTCTTATTCCAGTGGTCATCAAAGGGTTGAGATTGACTTACTCAATAAATTCACTTGTTATGTGGCAATTGAAATTTTCACAAAAGACACTTGTTCTATCAGTTCCAAGTGGTTTCAAGAGAATTTAAAAACTGACACTTTCAACACACTAAGCTTTGTTTAAAAAATCCATCGCGGCACACTTGAATATTATTGACAATTATACTCAATAGTTTTAACAACAAAATATCACTGTTTGGAATCAAATCAAGTATTTTTTGTTGCATTTCTCATAATTCAAATGAAAGAAAATATAAATGAGTATATTTTCGAACGGCTAGCGGTCATTCTCATAATATCGTCATTTCTACTAAAAAACCATTTCTCATACTGAATTCATGTCGAGAAAGCTGTAGCTGCTCATTGCATAAAATGCGTATATCAAAAATGTAATCAGTATTGATATTGTATATGATTCACATAATACGTGAAAAAAATGCTATGGAATTCAAAATGGTTTAGTCATATTGTTATTTCGTAGTAATGTTGAGTCAATATTGTTGACATTTTGGATGTATTCTCGTCACAGCCGGTGACAGCAGGCCCAAGTGATGCATCTTAGTGCTGAAAGTCCAAATCGCCTATGTATACACGAAATTCAAAACTTATTTTTAGCCCATTTTTTTGATTTAAAGAAAAACAGACGAATTCTTGTTACTGAAAGTTTGTTGGCCCAAACCAGTTAGTTAAAAGGATACATAATAGGTCAATGTGTAATAAAGGCGAAACAACATAATAGTCGAACTATAGCCGTTATTCTTCAAACATATAACGCAAGCAAACGCAAGCGTGCATCGCAAGGCAACAGCTATTCAAGTATCGAATACGGCAGTGCAAGCAGAAAATTATTGTTTTTATGCGTTTTGGACACATTATAAATAATGGGCTGATTGAAATTGCTTCGAAATGATTTTGTAAACTGATATCACAAGTTTTGTGTTCGCTTTCGACGCGAGAATTGACTTTGGAAAAGCTTTTTGTTTGATTTTGAATGAATAAAAAAAAAGGTTTGAAATACAACAAAAAACTTTTGTTTCAATGAATAATCATAACTGAATTTTTGAAATCATAACTGCAGAAAAAGATAATGACTATAGATTAGAATAGCCATAGAGTAAAACAACTGAAGTCGACAAATTTGTAGCAATCAACTTATAAACTTTTATTTTGTTTTTACAGAAAACCGACAAAAATGTTTGTAGAATTGTTGATTTTTTTTATTGTTCGTCATAACGTGTGCCGTTCGAGTTGAAACTCAGATTCTCGGAACCATTCACATACGACCAATTATGTAGTGTCTTGACATCTAATGATCCTCCTGAGAATGAATTAAAATATTTTTCTGCTCGAATTCAACTGTTTCATCACAAGTGGCTATTCTTTATTGTATGTGAAAGACATAGTTGAAGTAGAACATTTGACAGAAAAAAATCTGTAGTCTGAATATGAACTAAATCGAAACTGTGCAAAAGTTGGATAAAACAGAAATACAGTTAAAAATGAAAGTTCTCCGAAATTCTTTACAACTTTGAAACTCCAATACATTTATAGCTGACCATATAGATGGCGTTGCATAATGCTAATTTAAATTCAAGTTAGAAAATATACTTTAGACAAAAAGTAAAGATTCGGAGTAATTTAACTAAACTTAAATGTCAGTATTTGTATTACAAATAGTATTGAACTCAATTTATTTCACGCCGAATCATCAGCATATTTTTATTTTGGCGGGTGTCTAAATAACGTAGAATGAATTCTACTACTTAAACTTGGCATCCTTTCAGCGTAGATTAAATTGATAGATTTTTAAGAGGGAGAAAATTAATAGGAAACGAATTCAATTTAGTGTCGTCCAAACTCTCGAAACAGAAAGATGAAAATGTTTTGCAGAGCTAAACGAATACATACAAAAAGAAAGCAAAACGAACAAAATATGAGAGAAGCTTTAAAATGCAAATAACTAAATGAGCATTTACTTTTGCAAATACTTCCAATGTACAGCGAACAATACCCAATCCAGTGAAATAGACTGATTCTTGAGAGCGAACGATGATTAAAATGTATGTATTTCTGTAGCTCCGGTAGATATGCGAGCCGATTTGAAATGAAAACCGTGTTATCAATTGATGAGATTCAAAGACTTTTTAGAGCTTCAATTGCTCTGTGTTTCGATTTTGTTGTTACGCCTAACTCGTGCCCATACTTCTTTTGCATTATTTTTCAGATTATTGTCAATTAACTAAATTTTCAACACTATATGAAATCAAGAGTTTTATCTTGATGATTGAATCTAAATTATTATGAGCTTTACTGACATTAATAATACGTACTCGGAAAACGTTTAATACTACACGTACATCACAAAATATTAACTAAATGATAATGTCGCTTACATTTTGAGGTATTGTGCGGTCATCCAAAGTTATCACTCATGTGTATAAATACGTGGGTTCAGTTTGTAAAATGATGAATCGAATACCAGGATGGCACAACCAAAATTGTTGAAAATCACCAATTTTACCATTGAACGCAACTGGAAATGAATGTATATGTGCCTTCAACTACCCATGATACATAAAATAAATAAAAAAGAATTCAATTCATTATGAATCGATATCAATTTTCTAGAAATAATTTTCTAGTGATAATTATTATGAGTATTGCTAACGTTGACATTTGGTTTTATGCCCATATTTTATTATCCGAATGCCTTCATTCTCGGTTTGATGTTCATCATTTCAAGTCGTCAGTTGGATTTGGATTGTGAACATTTTTCAGGGTAAAAATAAACGAGTTATATCTGATTGATGGATCCAATACCAGGATGCTCGTCGAACAATACTGCATTGTTCGTGGTGGGAAATGTTGTGAACGATGTTAGTGATAAATCAACAGTTCCTGGTGAAAACTCCAAGGAAGACTTCTGGAACACGATAAAATATGGAAATCGAGCTGAAGTAACTACCAATTATCCAAAGTGGATACGTTCCGATTTAATTCGAACCCAATTTTCAGGTTACTTGGGCAATGATCGCCGATTTTTTCTCGGGAAGTACCATTGCTGGTTTACATTATTTCTCGGAACGAGGTCTCCATTGGACGGAAAGGTTTGCGAATTGAATTTAGTTTGAAATGCGATAATATTGGAATGTTTCTGTCTATACTAGAGCATGGTGGGTTGTAGCTTTTGGAATGGTGGTGTTTGTGTTTGGACTTTTGACTCGGAATGCTTGGATTGCATGGGATCAGAGGCCAGTGGTTATCAGCTTTGCAGAAAAAATGACTCCGATTTGGTCGATTCCATTTCCAGCAGTTACAATTTGTCCAGAGTCTAAATTTGATACAAGTAAATTGAATTTCACGGAAGCATACCATATGATCAGAACGGGACAAAAAGACAATATATCTGTCGAAACGTGAGTTTCTATTTTGAATCAAAGTGGAAAAAAATTGTATAAAATTCTGTTTGAACAAACTCTGTAGGCTACAGAAAATGGAGAGTGTGATGCATCTTTGTGACGTGCATTCACTCAAACACGTTGATTTGGGGCAAAACTTCTCGGACAAATCTATTTTCCGCACAATATTTGATGTCAGTGAATATTATGGGCAAAGGACCGTTTTTACTAAATGGCGCAATGGAAATAAACTTAATCTAATTTTGACCGAGGAAGGGGTTTGCCATACATTTAATGCGCTTAATTCTCGGGACATTTACACAGATGAGTATGCATCTCACATTAGCTGTAGTTGTTCGGTGTTTTAAAATAAAAACTCATTCATACTGGACATACATTTCATTAGAATGGCTCAGGGAATGATGAACTTGGTTCAGAACCCAAGTGTAACGCATTGGGACACGGAAAATGGTTACAATAATAGTGATGAAAATCGTATCGAAACATACCCATAACGCGCACTTAATGCTGGAAGAAGAGCTGGATTAGAGGCTCGACTTTCATATCATCAGAAAGCACCTTTGTGCCGTGGACCAGTTGGAGGTTACAAAATTCTTTTACATAATCCAGGAGAAGTGCCTCGAATGTCGAAACATTATTCTCGCGTGCCATATGGTGAAGAGATATTGATAGCAATTAAACCACAAATGATCATAACTTCAGATGATCTACGACCTTACAAACCTCATCAACGACAGTGCTTTTTCGGGTCAGAGCGGCAATTGCGTTTCTTCAAAATATATACACAGCGCAATTGCGAGCTAGAGTGTCTAGCTAATTTTACTAAGGGAGAATGCGGTTGCGTTAAATTCTCAATGCCACGTAAGTATGCTTGAATTAATAATAATAACAATAGGAAAATGAAGTCGAAGAGGATCTTGAATGAGAGGCGGGATCTTTCTCTTCATTGATCTCGACTTTGACTTCTTTTGTCTTTTTGAATTTTGTACGAATAATACGACTTGCCCATGTCCAAATTTACACGCAAAGAGATGGGTATAATGTTCCTAATAAAAATGTATGACAAAAATGGATTCCTTTTAAAGGGGACGTTGATACACCTATTTGTGGCACATCGAAGATCATGTGCTACAATGCAGCCGAAAATAAAATGATGAAAAAACATTATGTTGAAGGCTCCAAAAGTATTGGCGATGTCAATGGTGTGTGCAATTGTTTACCGGCTTGCACATCGATAACATATGACGCGCAAATTACTCAGTCAAAACGCAGCATCCTTTTGTATGTTCAAGAAATAATTTGAAACGACTGGTTTTTTTTTCATGATGCACTCTGTTGTTTTCAGACTTATCTCAGAGAGTCGTGTATCAATATTCTTCAAGCAGCGACAATTTATTGCATTGAAACAATCTGTGTACAATAGTGTAATTGGATTTTTGGCCAACTGTGGCGGTCTGCTGAGTTTATTCATGGGAATATCATTCATGAGCATGATTGAGATTATTTACTATCCTACACTTCGACTGGGCTATTCACTGTCTATACGCAAATTGCATACGAAAAGCTTTGGAAAAAAATTATTGAAGAATATTCCCAAAATTACAATTATCAAACCAACAGAAGAACGTTCAAACATCAAATCTGACACAATATCGGCAAATGATTTTCAGCAGATTAAATATGGGAATAGACTTCGGGTAAGTAATAGCCAATAGGTACGTTCTCGATATTCCAATTCCAAAACTCTCGAATATTTAGTTCGAATGTTCATTTTTTCAGGCTTTTGGCACAGTGTTCAGGGAGTTTTTCTCAAACAGCACCATTCACGGTATGCGGTACCTTTCAGAACCAAGGCGTCACTGGACCGAAAGGTGTGTACTTGCATCTAGTAAAAATACAGAAACATCAATTCG